GAGAGAGTGGGGTATGACAGAGGACTCCTGGGGCAATACTAGACCGCCCCAGAGAGAGTGGGGTATGACAGAGGACTCCTGGGGCAATACTAGACTGCCCCAGAGAGAGTGGGGTATGACAGAGGACTCCTGGGGCAATACTAGACTGCCCCAGAGAGAGTGGGGTATGACAGAGGACTGCTGGAGCAATACTAGACCGCCCCAGAGAGAGTGGGGTATGACAGAGGACTCCTGGGGCAATACCAGACCGCCCCAGAGAGAGTGGGGTATGACGGAGGACTCTGGGTGGCGAGCCAGCGGTCGGCGCAGACGTACCCCCCCAGACTTGGGCAGCAGCACCACCTTGACGAAGTGCGGCAGGTCCCGCTTGAGCTCGTTGTAGAGGCGCTCCTGGTCCAGCACCAGCACCACGTCCACCTCGAAGGCAGAGGCGCAGTGCACCAGCGCCTGGTAGCCCGCGCCCTTCACCCAGCCGCAGGTGTTGATGACACAGCCGCCCACGCTGGCCCGCCGGTTCACCTCGCAGCGCTGGGAGAAGACCTCCGCCAGGCAGGACGTCAGCTGGGGGGACAGGGGGTCAGGGTCAGGGGTACCCCAATACTAATACACACACACACAAGACTGGAGAGAGAGGGTCAGGGTTACCCCCACACTAAAACACACACACAGGACTGGGGAATCAGGGTCACCCCCCATACATACACACACAGGACTGGGGAGTCACGTCACCCCCATACATACACACACAGGACTGGGGAGTCAGGGTCACCCCCCATACATACACACACACACAGGACTGGGGAGACAGGGTCACCCCCATACATACACACACAGGACTGGGGAGCCACACACACAGCGTCTACAGAACCATGAGCACACAGCACAGAGTCTACAGAGAGCCACACACAGCGCAGCATCTACAGAGAGCTACACGCAGCACAACACCGACAGAGCCACGAGCACACAGCACACCTCCTACAGAGAGCCACACGCACACAGCGCAGCATCTAAAGAGAGAAGCACACAACACAGCGCACCATCTACAGAGAGCCACACGCAGCACAGCGCAGCATCTACAGAGACACCCATGCTCAGTAAACATCCAGGTGGACAGCTAAGAGCAGGCAGCACTGTGCACCTGCAGGTGCTGATGAAGCCACCTACCTTGTTGTACAGCTTGATGTTGGTGCCGGGAGTGGTGGAGCCGAAGTGATAGACCAGGGGCGCCTGGACAGAGAAGCCTTCCTCGATGTCGGCGGGCCTCTCAATGCACAGGGCAGACACAGTGCCAGGGACAGACACACCGCTCTGACCCACATCCAGCTCCACCAGCGTGGGGCGCCGGCCGACCCGCACCGCCCAGCTGAGGAGCAGCCTGCACAGAGTGGACTTCCCAACATCTGTGGGGCCGACAACCATCACCTGAGAGGTACAGAAAGAGAGGGGTTAATACAGTCCAGACACACTGACTGGACACTACAGGACATTAACATTGCACTGAGAGAGAGGGGTTAATACAGTCCAGACACACTGACTGGACACTACAGGACATTAACACTGCACTGAGAGAGAGGGGTTAATACAGTCCAGACACACTGACTGGACACTCCAGGACATTAACATTGCACTGAGAGAGAGGGGTTAATACAGTCCAGACACAC